GTCTAATAGTACAGCCTACTACCAGCTCCAATTCATCTATAGCCAATCTAATAGCCAATTCATACAATAGTTGTTTACTATACTATTAGTATATGGCCCCACCTGTTATACACACAGTGTGTCTTGGAGTCCGTGCTGCAGCTGGCTACAGATCTGTAGCCTGCTGCTCTTCTCTCTCATCGTTTATATCATTAAAATATGTTTATAGCCGGCTAATAGCCTGCTATTGTACCTGCTCTAATGCACCACCATAAAGAGCAAGTTTAATAGTATAGCCCACTACTGGTCATCTATAACCAATCTAATAGCCAATTGATACAATAGTTGCTATTAATATATGGTCCCACATATTATACATATATTGTGTTTTGGAGTCCGTGCTGCAGCTAGCTACAGATATGTAGCCCGCTACTTTTCTCTCTCATTGTTTATCACATTAAAATATATTTATAGCTAGTTAATAGTATGCTACTGTACCTGCTCTAATTACGTACCTACTTACGCGCCATCGACTCTCCACTAAAAACAACCGATTAACGGCTGGACTAGGGCTAGTCCCCATCATTTACGCTACCAGTACGTACTTCACATCCACCGGTATTATACGTACGTACCATATGCATGCTCCATTCTACGTATATACGTGCTGTATAATATACCCTCCGTATTTTAATGTATGACGCCGTTGACTTTTTAACCAACGTTTGACCACTCGTCTTATTCAAAATTTTTATGCAAATAAAAAAATACTTATGTCATGTTTAAAGAACATTTGATGATAAATCAAGTCACAATAAAATAAATTATAATTACATAATTTTTTTTAATAAGACGAAAGGTCAAACGTTTGTTAAAAAGTCAACGGCGTCATACATTAAAATACGGAGGGAGTACTCAACAAATTAAGGGTGAGCATCACCAGTAGCTTTCTTATTCTATTCCCTATCCTTAAATTTAGAAAATTTTGGTTAAAAGTCGCATCCAACAGAATCCCTAGCATGTCTTCCAATAATCCAGATTCCCAACTCTGGATATGTCATTCCCGCTCAAGGGAGCGATTTTTTTTCCCAATCGCTCTCTCGCGCGCGCACAGAGAAAATTAACAAAATGAAGGAGGAAGAGAAAAATTAATTTTGTCCGTTGGTACTTGGTAGTTAAAGGGAGAGCCTATTTTTCATTATAGGAAATCAATTTTAGGCTTTCTCTTGGAGATAGGTTTTCTCACTTCCTATATTCAGTTTTGAAGATCCAAAATATATAGTTTTAGGAATTGATTATTGGGATACTCTTGGTGATGCTCTACTACTCCCTCTGTCCCAAAATATAATACACAACCACTTTTCTCTCATGTCTCATAATATAAGACGTGCATACATGCATACATTAACTATCACTTCTTAATCATTTAAATTTGGTTTATTTTAAATCCTTTACCATCAGACCCCCCCAATTGGCCTCATCTTTTCGCTTATGCTTATGCTTATCAGCTAAAATTTGAATTTTCAACCTTAAATTTGGAGTTGATTTTGGGTTTTTTCATCGAAGTTTGTTTTTCAGCATTTGCTTTTAAATCGCTAAGAACACGTATATAAAAGTTTTATTCACAAATCATTTTTCGTTTGTAAATATGTCGTTTCGCTTATTTCGAAACGATGGGCTCCATTGCTTGTACTCCCTCCGCTCTCTAATATAAGGGATTTTGACATTTTGTTTACACTGTTTTACCATTCATCTTATTTAAAAAATTTAAAATTATTTTTTACTTACTTTGTTATCCAAAGTACTTTAAGCACAACTTTTCGTTGTTTATATTTGCACAAATTTTTTGAATAAGACGAGTGGTCAAACAGTACAAGCAAAATGTCTAAATCCATTATATTAGGGGACGAAGGGAGTATGTATGAATATGATTCAATAAAGAAGGTGATTAATTTTTTTCCTTGATCTTTATGTTAGGGATGGTTGAGTCTTATATTTTGGGATGAAATGAGTAGTACTAGTGATTAATCTGCTTCTAGTTAAACAGATTTCTTCTCTCTCCCCTTGAAATTCATGATCCCTCGCATGCATATGAGGCCTGTTTAAAACTTCTTATTCGCTAGATTATTTTAGTAAAATAATAATACATATTTTTAGAAATAAATTTAATAATTAATAAATAATTTAGAACATATGGTCTAATTAATACGATACATAAAGGTTCTTTACAAAAATATTTTTTTTTAGAAACGTGAAGCAAATAATCCATAGCTATATTTATAAAGCTTGCTAAAAATGGGCCCTCGTTGTCAGAACGTTCAACTACTACTTTAGGTTGCGTTTATTCCACGCCAAAATTAGAAGATTGAAGAAATTAGAACGATGTAACGGAAAAGCTGAAAGTTTATACTTTAGGTTGCGTTTATTCCACGCCAAAATTAGAAGATTGAAGAAATTGGAACGATGTAACGAAAAAGTTGAAAGTTTATGTGTATAGGAAAGTTCGATGTGATAAAAAAGTTAAAAGTTTTTTTAAAAAAAGTTGGAATAAACAGAGCCTTAGTTTCCGTTTAGGAACAGGACGTCCAGGCAACTTCTCATGCACAAATTCTGTTTCCCTACTTCTATAAAAAAAAAAAAAAACAACCCATGCATGAGGGAGTTGACTGCATTCAGCAAGCCTGGACAACAAATTAAATCTATCTCACCCCAAATGGGAACACTAGCGACGTGCTACGTACGCATCATGCGAGTCACCGCCCAAATTGCATAAACCATAGTTTAAATAGCACTATCACAGCACAATTTCGTTATGCGACATCGCTGGAGACGGTAGTATGCAAATTGACTATTGCCTATAACGGGCCCAAGTCACCAAAAACCGGTCATTCCAAAGTACTAGGGTGATGTTGAATATAAAGATAAAGTTAGGATATGAAAAATAAACAAGAAAAGCTGTCACCGCATCAATAATTAAATTTTGATTATTACAGATTTAAAAAATAATTTATTTAGCATTATTTTTAAGCAATTTCTATATAAAAAGATTTTATATGAAATATACTATTTAGCAGTTTTTTTAATGCCTCTATTTAGCAGTTTAAAAAACGGAATAACAAAAATCAAGATAAAATCTGTCTCCTTGTGAGAAAAGAATGAAGCCTTAACGAGAGCGTATAATTAAACAGGTGAAAGAAAATGAGAATGGAATTTCAGCATCTCACGCAGCTGTCGCCTCGCCTCGAGTGGCAGCAAAAACAACTGGCAAAACGGGAAAAACAATGCCGAGAAAAACGACCACAAAAAAGCAGCAGCAGCGTCGACGACGACAGCGACCTCCTCGGCGCCCCGTCCATACGTCATCCTCGTTTCCTCCCCTTTGACCATCTTTCTCCTCTGCCCAGCTTTCCTCGTTCCACACCTCAGTTTCTCACTGCCTTCCGTTGGCCACCCTGCAAAGCCCCAAAATTACAACTTGGTGCTTGGACGTTCATCTACGGTCACTACAAGAAAAATACTCTGTATAGACATTTTTCTAGTACTGTAGAGGCACTTATCAAATGCCTTTACAACAATGTAGAGGCATTTTAAAAAATGTCCAATAAGTGTCTTATGGTGAATTGTCTCTACAAACGAAGAGACATTTTATAAAATGTCTATAAGATGGTAGAGGCATTTTTTAGAGACTAAATTGTACCGCAAACATATAAAACCAGTCAAAAAAGAGAATAAAATAGTTTCCTTGCTTTTGATAAGTCTTGAACTCATGATCTTTTGGTTAAATCATTTTAATCTTCGATACACTAACCAACTCAACTCCATGTCATTACTTGTATATTTGTTCCTTTAATTACTTATATTTAGTCGTTTAGTACACATTATCATTCTAAAAAGTGTCTCTACATAGTTTAAAATGTCTCAACAAAATGCCTTTACATATTAGACGCATTTTATAGTGCCGAAAGAATGCCTCTACAAGATAAAATCTAACAAACTGATATAAAAATGTCTCTAGAGTAAAAGTTTTCTAGGCAATTTTTAAAGTGTCTCTACACTATAAAACTTCTGATTGTAGAAGCAATTTACAAAATGCCTCTACAAAAGTGCCTCTATACGAGTTTTTTGTTGTAGTGGGTCCACTGTTTTTTTTTTGTTATTTTTAGATTTGTACTAGGTAGCTGTGGTAGCTTTGAGCACTCCAATTTTTGTTGGATGTAGTGCATTGCAAAATTAATTTTTTGTCTGTAATTAGGAGATCCTAAGAATTTCAAAGAGAGTGTATAGCTTTGTGTAGCATCAAGTTTGGATAGCCCTTTTTTTTATTTTGGTGTCAACAAAAAGACAAAAGAAAGCTATACAAAGCTACTCGCAGCCCAGCACAAAAGAATTTTAAGTCTGATATTTTTTTTAAGAATATAAAAGGTTGGCTTGTTTCTTGCTAGTTATCACGGTCAAAATATGTCCACGGATTTTTCGCTACCGTTTCTTAGAGCTGGCATGACGACAAAAGATATAAAGTGTTCATACTCAAGCTTTTGGGAGTGCTTCCATAATAGAGTTATTGTAGATGTATTTATGATTCGATATTGTAATTTGCATGCATATCTTCGAAGGGTAAATGTTTCAGATTGTTAGGAACAAATCTAACATTATTTTTAAAGAAAAAAAATCCCCAATGATAGTACAAAATAATATAGGAAGATGAATAACTACCATTAAACTACTTTCAATGATATCCTTTTTCATTCAAAAGGGTGATCTGCCGTATGCTTTCTACATTTAATTGGCTATATTTCTCATAGAAGTCCATTTCCAAGCTAACATTAAAATAGCGTGTGGGTGATAAATTTCTTTCTTTTTTAAAAAAAGCTAGCATTGAAAATAGCGCGTGAGGACGAACTGAGCTGCCATTTCTGCATTTCATTTCCAGGTAGAGTACTTGTACAATCCAAGGAGCGTTTCGTAAATTGTTTCCTTAGTCAGGGTGTGAAACGAAAAGGCCACCACTGCCTATAATACTAGCCTCCTCCCCCCACATGGACCCCTCATCCTCCTCCTCCTCCTCCTCTCCCTTTTCTACTCCATTCCATTCCATCTCCTCCACTTCCACCCTCAGGCCTCAGCTCGCCATCGCCATTGTTGCAACACCAAGTGTTTGTGGTCGGAACGAGATCGAGCAGCAGCCATCCATGGTGAGGAAGGAGATGGGCGGCGGCGGCGGCAGGCTCGCGGCGGAGTACCAGGGCCTGGAGGTGAAGGTACCCACGTTCTTCCGGTGCCCCATCTCCCTCGACGTCATGCGCTCGCCGGTGAGCCTCTGCACCGGCGTCACCTACGACCGCGCCTCCATCCAGCGCTGGATCGACTCCGGCAACACCACCTGCCCCGCCACCATGCTCCCGCTCCCCTCCACCGACCTCGTCCCCAACCTCACCCTCCGCCGCCTCATCGCGCTCTGGGCCTCCACGGCCGCGCCGTCGTCGCCGGCGGCGCCATCGGCTGTTGGCCCCACCCCGGCTGCTGCGGCGGCGGAGCTCCTCCGCCGGGTCGCGGCGCCCGGGGTGGACCCGTGCCCGGCGCTGCGCAAGCTCGCGGCGTTCCTGTCTGACGACGACGTCGACGAGTTCGACAAGAACGCGCTCGCGAGGGCCGGTGGCGCGGCGGAGACCGTGGCGTCGGTGCTCAGGAGGAGGGGGAAGGGTGATGATGATGATGGCGGCGTGGAAGCCGTCGAGGCGGCCGTCCGGGTGCTCGCGGTGCTCGCCACGTCGGACTGCATCGAGGAGGAGAACAGGAGGCGCGTCGCCGCCGCGCTCGCCGCGGGGGGCGCCGCGCCGTCGGTGGCGGCGTCGCTGGCGCGCGTGATGCGGAGCGGGAGCGGGCTCGAGGCCCGCGTCGACGCGGCGAGGCTGGTGGAGTCGCTGCTCCGGGACGGCGCGCGCGGCGCCACCGCGCCGGGGGTGAGGGCGGCGGTCGCCGAGTCGGAGGAGCTGGTCGCGGAGCTGATCCGGCTCGTCGGCCCCACGGACGAGAAGGGCAGCCTCGACGCGCAGGCCGTGGACGCCGGCCTCTCCTGCCTCGCCGCCATCGTCGCCGCGACGCGGCGCGCGCGCGCCGAGATGGTCCGTCTCGGCGCCGTCCCGGCCGCCGTGCGCGTCCTGGCCACGGACCACCACGGCGGGTCGCACGCCCAGGCGCTGCGCGTGCTGGAGGCCGCCGTGGGGTGCGCGGAGGGGCGCGCGGCGGTGTGCGAGGTGGCGGAGGCGGCGATCCCGGCGGTGGTGTCGAGGATGATGAGGTGCGGCGGGATGGGCGGCGCGGAGGCGGCGGTGTCGGTGCTGTGGGCGGTGTGCCACCGGTACAGGGACCGGCGCGCGGTGGAGGCGGCGGCGGCGTCGGAGGGCGGGCTGACGAAGCTCCTCCTGCTGATGCAGAGCGGGTGCTCGCCGGCGGCGAGGCAGATGGCGTCGGAGCTCCTCAAGATGTTCAAGGTGAACGCCAAGAGCTGCCTCGCCGGCTACGACTCCAAGACCACCCACATCATGCCTTTCTAAAACCCAAAAAAAAAAAGAGAAATTCAAATTCTCCATTAATTTGTCAGCTTCGTTCGATAGAGAGGAAAAGAATCGAGACTGGAGAAAGACAAACTTGTACATGGTTAGAGAAATTTTTCCTAGAAAGAAACAGATCAAATTTCTTCTTTGTTCTTTGGCCAAAATTCAGTACTGCCATGATGTGTTCAAACAAATTCAGTGTTGCAAGGGAAGGGCAGAATGACTTTCATCTTTGCATCAATCACACGATTCACATCGCACAAACCATCGTTTGGGAAAAAAAAACACCAAAACGATTCGATTCTCCATTAAAATCGGTCAAAACAAGAGCTTATAAAAAAAAATACTATGCATTAGGTGCACATCCAGCATGGTTCTTTGCTCCATCTTGGAGCATGTTTCATCAGGATAAAGAAAGATTATCCAGCTACACACGCTATGATACTGGAGTAGGGAGTATTGACCGCTGACCATGATCTGATGACCGGATCCTGACAGGTGGACCGAAAGATTATGAGATCACACAAAAGTCAACGAGAGTCATTGAAATCTCCTTCACCATAATACATGCAGGCACAAAAGGGCATTATTCATCTGACTCAGCAGCATCCATCTTCTCTGCATGGCTATCCTAAAAATTGCAGGATTTGTAGACTAGTGCCTTTTTGACCTGAGAAAAGAGAAAGAAAACCAGCTGCCGAGCACCTTTTCAAAGTTGAAAGTTTGGTTTGAAATTGATACGATGTGACTTTGTGTGTGTATGATATGTTGATGTGATAGAAAAAATTAGAAGTTTGGATCTAAACACAGCCATAAAGAGAGGATTGAGAGCTTTATCAGTTACCTATATTTTCTAATAACTCGAAACATTTTATCAGGAAATAAAAATTAATTTATAGGTAAAACTTATATATTTATTCGTAGCGACTTAAAAGCCAACATTAATAAAAAATTATGTTAACAATATCTTAAAGTCAATATCAAAATTAAGTTTAAAAATTTAAATTTTAGCATTTGCTTTGGTTTATTAGGCTAATCGATGGGGCTCTAAAAGGAGGCGGCAAAGCGTGTACGTTCCGATGAATGGATGGATTAGATGGGATGAGTGGAAGGAAGAGGAAGCAGGTCGACGACCACATGCAATTTTGCGGTGCGCTCACGCCGGCAACGCGGCTCCTCTGCCCACTCTCACTTGTATCTCAGTACAGCTAAGAAGAAACACGGTAATGGTAGTAGCTGTCTTGATTCTTAAGCAATGGAGTAGTATATATATATATACTGCTTATTAAATGGAGCAGCTCGTGGTACAAAATGGTACCCTTGTTAATTATTAGGAGTAGTAGTACTCTAGTTAGCAAAATTCTTTAGATACAAGCCATGTTTTGGAAGACATTTGTACGTTGTGGCTAATAAGTCGATTGCGTGTTAACCGGAACAATGATGAAAAATCAATTTTGAGAGTAAGAGCTTTTTTTTTTTTTTTGGTGGCGTTGCCACAATTTGGTAGGATGAGAATTTTTTTTTTTGTTTGAAGGTAGAGGATTTCAAGTAGAAGTTTAGAGTTTTCAAATTTTGGTAAAGTGCTAATGGTTGAAAATGTTATCAGTTTATTACCTCACTGACATTTGTCATTGCTATCGACGTGTGATAGTCAGCAGAACCATATCTGGTAGTAATCCGGTGTTCAGTGACAGGGTTTAAAGCTATGATTATAGGAGCCCACGACTGGTCGCTGACTTAATCTCCGATTTATGTTCTGTTGAGATTAGTTGTGTTGGCTAGATTAGATTATAGAACCCACCTCATACTTGGCAATGGTCTGATATTTCTAGCCAATCCATATAAATTGGTGTAGTGCTATTACTCTTTTGGGGCTCGAACCTATATAAAAAACGTGAGTCTCACTCTCTCTATATTACATCTAGACGTATATCCTTGTATTATCGCAGTAGGATCTTAGCTATTGACGGACTATCATTTGACAATGGCAATGGGATTTACCTATATGATGGACTAGGGTGATCTTGACCTTAAGAGGTATGAAAGTTATCGGCAAATTTCGATCGAGAATTCACTGTTTCAAACTTGAATTTATAGAAAACCATTCGAAAATCGCACCGAAATCCGCTTTCGTCCCACGTCGATACCTCAAGATTGTCACGTTATTTCGTCAAGAAAACGTGATTTCACCATGATGCGCAGGAAGGAAAGGAATGTGAGGGAGGAGGATTAAGGTTGGTAGAGGAGGTGCGTGCCGGCATTGATGCCCCTGCTTGACTGCATATGCCCCTACGCATCGCAAAGCAAGTTGGCCACTGTTTACTTTGCCTCCGGGAATCATCAGATCTCACCTCAAATCTTTCTTTATTTCTGCCCGGCAAAGGCATCCTTGATGAATCCTTTGACTGGACTGGGATTTTGCACGCCGCGCGGCGCCATCATTTGGCTGTTCGATTCAACAAACTCAAGCGATCGAGATCGAAGCATATCCGTTGTTACCCACGCTTGATTTGGCTGCGTTCTTTTGCAGCGGACAAAGAGAAGAAATCCGTTGTTATTCATGTCCACGTTTATCGAACCGATAAATAATACTCCCTCCGTACAAAAATATAAGCATTTTTAGCGTAATGACAAGTCAAACTTTTATAACTTTTACCATTAAAGTAAAAAAAATTAATCATGTAAAATTGATGTTACTAGATTTATCATTAAACAATCTATCATAATATACAACTCTTTTTATTTAAAACATCTTATTTTTATAGATATTATTGGTCAAAATAACATCTCGGATACCGTGTCAGGGTCCATAAATGCTTATATTTTAGGACGGATGGAGTATGTTTTTTTTAAAAAAAAATCTATAAGAAAATTGTTTTAAAAAGTCATATTTATTTATTTTTCATGTTCAAAATAATTAAAGGTTGTCTATCTACCAATTGAAAGAAAACACCTCTAAGAATTAATCAGGTGAATTTTACATCGCCTGATAGCTATGAGCTTTGTACACAACCTCTAAACTAACCCTACACATCCTCTCCTCCCTTGTTCACTTCTCCCTCCTAGCCCCACCACGTGCGATACACGACTCGAGCACTCGACCGTGACACCTCCTCAATGTGCTGCCGTCCAGCCATGTCGGCTGGCTAAAAGGCATCAACAGCACCGGTGAGCCCCCACCTCCCCCCCTTCCCTGGCCAGCCTCCTTCCCCTTCCCTCATCCTCTTCCCTTCTCTCCCCCGCTCCGCTATCTTCCCTGTCTCTAGTGACTCCCCATCATCGGATCCATCACCATCAGCAGCCACCTTCTAAGTATAAGCTTGTTTTTGCCCTCTCCATCAACAATGGCCCACTGCTCTCCTGCTCTCCTATATCCTCACGGCTTTGGCATCGCCACCGCCACCGCCGCTTCATCACTCGTCTATGTCCACCATCGGTCACCGTCTCCCGCGGTCATCCCTATAAGCCAAGCGATGTACCCCCTTCCATCTCCGCCCCAAACTAGGACTCTAAACTCGAATTTATTAATTTGCCTATGTCAGGACCGTTGGAGCTATCGGAGCTAGAGAAGAATGTGTCCTTAGAGCTGCTGGAGAAGAGGTCGCTGAAACCTGAATCACGAAGCAAATCCCATAGTAAGAATTCTGCAAGATTTTTGACCCAAAAATATGTCGCCAACCAATTAACCATCCCCAATAATTTATAGTCAAATCATGTACTAACTAATATCTCACCTTGTTTTATATATCTTCTCAATCTTCTTCTTTTCCCCTCTCTCTCTCTCAAATACACATTGCATCGGCGAACAAATGTTAGGTCACCGTAGCTTCTGCTCGCTCGGTTGAACTGAACACCGATGTCTCTCGTTTTTCCTTGTCCAGAAAAGAAATTGTCCGTGACCACCTGTTTCCTAGTGGCATCACCGAAGATTGACAGCGTCAAACCGAACGTGTGCTACTTCTGGAAGAGCGCAACGCTCCAAGGACCAAGAGACTTCCTGATGACAAGGGCATTATTTCAGCAGGAGGAGATTATTAACCTGCTGGTTAATTACTTCATATGCTGATTGAGAAAAGGAGAGAATGAATTAGGCTGAATCTTTATTAGCAGGGTAAAAGGTCAATGTGTGACATTGTTGTTTGGCTGTTAATGCGACTTGCTGCTGACAATGACTGTGTTTAGATCCAAACTTTGAATCCAAACTTTCAACTTTTTTCATCACATCAACCTGTCATACACACACTATTTTTCAGTCACATCATACCAATTTTAACCCAAACACAGCCAATATATGGCTACCGACCTAGAAGTACGGTGAAGACAGTAGTTAAAAGAGAAGGGTACGCAAGCAGAGACGGAAGATGCTACAGAGAGGAGGAAAATGGATGGAGGAAATGAATTAAGATGATGAGGTTGAATCAATCACTTGCTAGCCACGCGATTGACTTTTGCATTCGATCATCGATCGCCGGTTTTCTTTCTTCTTTCCAATTTCCTTTCGTTTCACTAGTCACTACATTGAGATCTCACATCTTTAAATTGACACTTGATTAAAGGTCCTTCTAGACAAAGGTTGAAAATATTTTATTAGTCACACGAGAGTTATGATTAGCATATAATTAATGGATTGTTAATTATCAAACAATAATCAATTTATTTATTTTGTTTTTTATGTACAAAACGTGACATTTAACAATTAAAAAAAACATGCTAACTAGCTAAATCATGTGTGCGACTGCGTACTTAGGGTGTAGTACTGCAGTGCAGCAACTAGAATATTGCTGGATTAGCTGTGGTGTTTTGTGATGGTGATGATAGATGGATTGGTCGAATGTGGCCGGTCTTCCTCAAGAAAGGGGATAGGAGAGTAGAGGAGGCCAGACAGAACGGTTGATGGAGGAGGCAAGGCGATCCTGATCGCGCATGTAGCGTACGTACGGGCTTGGTACAACTCCAGCTCCAGTTCTATTTCTTCTGGAGTTAGAGTTCAGCCACACAGTTTCAGCTCCACTTAAAATAGGAGCGGAGCTGAATAGAGCTCTCTCACATGACAAAATGAACTAGAAAAGTGGAGTTGGGTTTAGGCAGCTCCACAACTCCATTTCAAACCCTAACTTCTGAAGCTAAATTTAGAAGTTGGAGCTCTACAATTAGAACCATAAGATCTTTTTTGGTTAATCATGTCAGAAGGAGATTGAGGGTGATTTGTTGATGGTTTATTTAATATGTATTGATGTGGAA